GCCTCAGTGTTGAGCCTGAATCTAGTAGTAACTACTGTAATGTAATTAATTTGTCAGCTAGTGTTTTAAAAGAAACGGAACCTAGATTGTTGGAGTAGGGTTTAAGCTTTACTATCAACAAACCTATACGCAGATGAGGTAATTCCCATCTTTGAAAGCGGGGTAACGAAGTTATCCGACGTAAGGGAGGCGAATATCTGTGCACAGCTGGTGAATATTGTTAATTTTCGGAAACCGGGGGACCTACTCTCTCACCAGCTGAACATATCGCGTTGAACGCCTTAAAGGAAACTCGTGGTATCGTAGTTACAAATGCTACTAAGGTAACAACAATGGTAGTGATGAATAAGCCGAGTTATCGTAAAAAATGTAACCGCCTTTGGAGACAGGATCGTATAAGTCAATTGAGTATAAAACCTTAACGACAGTTGTTGCCAATTACTTGAGAAGTAGAAAGTAGCGAACAAGCTTGTTTTCAGTGAGTCATCATCAGGCTAGTGCAACCACAACTATGTGGATCAAAAATGTACACGTGAGTTATAAGCGTCAATAAATCAACATTTTCCCTAATAAGGCCATGTGGTTAGCCCGACCTGTGTAGAGTCGGGGGAATGGCGTGATAGGTCTGATTACTTGTGTGTCTGTGGCCAAGGTAGACGGAGGGTCGGCACACAATTCTTTTGTGCACACAACTCCGGATTATGTAGCCGAATTGTGATTGCCTGTGCTCTCGATAGCAGACGGCATCTGATAGCTCCTGTGTGGCTTTCTGGGACACAGTATCTCGGTTGGAATGAATCATTTGTGTTTATTTTGTGGTTAGAATCCACTAAATGTGACAATACTGTACTCCTCGCATTTTTCCTCATACCGCTGTATAGCCAAGCCGGACAATAGTCTCGAGTTCTTACGGACAGTCGCCACGACTTCTATGTTTGCATCACAGTTTTTCATCACAAGTATTCATGTCGCTTCATCTCTCGCACGCTGAGCAATTACTGCTTGGGACCCAGATTGACCGCGTCACAATCAGCCACTGACGGTTCATGTTACTACAAGCTTATTAATTTGGAGCTTTTTGATGTAATTTATCAATTGTCCGTCTCATTTAACTCCCAGCTAGACAGGCTTTTACTTATCCGTAAAATGACTAGCCAGCGGTTTCGTACCAATTGAGTCGTCAGTAGTCCGCATTCGTCGAATCCACGGGAAACAGAACCCATGAGCCCCCGACGCCAGCGACTTATGCCGTTATCTTGTGCGTAATGGCGGTGACGTAGCAGATAGAATTTGAGTGTTGCATGCCCGAAAACAATACACAGTGTTTTCGAGCGGGCAACATTCAAATTCCATCTGCTTTAGCCACGGTCCCAGTGATCACAGTGACCAGGGTTCACTTCACTGTGAATCGCGGTCCACATTGAGATTGCGCGTCGAAATCCAATCAGACAACGTGTAATCTAAAATCACCCTCCAATCAGACTGTTGACCTAATTGCGATATGGTGGGACTCGTCTTTCACTGCTGTGCAGGTCACGGACTTTGTAGAGAACTGGGTTGCTTCCATAACCATGGCTTCTCATAACCGCAGCTATGTACAACATAGAATTTCGAGGCTGTTAGTAATCAAAAAATTCGCCTGAACTGCTTAATGCTTATTTGACTTTGAGTTAAAATCAGGTGTGTCGTAATTCTCTCCCATTATTTCGTTGTGGCACTGCGCGAGGCACGTGTTACGTTTTAGTGTCGTAGTTGCAGAGAAACACACCGATATTGCGAGCGTTACATCTGTCCCCAAGGAGTCGAGGTGAACAGGACACTTGATAATAAATCTACTAATAAACTAGTCGACGAGATAGTAATCAACCTTGCTGTTTCCTCGATGCCTTTCATGACCTCGGTATCTTCGCTTGTGATTGGCATGTACGGAGGAGCTTGATAACAGCTCATCACCAGCATGGAGGATTATTGCGCCCCGTCTTTCTGTCAAAAAAGTCATCACAAGTTTCGTCATTCAGCCAAATTTGTGCATTCATTCCTTAAACTTTCGTCCACGCACTACTTCACGGAGTTTTCAGGTTCGTTTATGTTTGGGTAGTCCTCGACTGATACGCTTTACTGTCCAGATGCAAACCAGGGTTCCTCTGTGGGCTCTCACACGTGCAGCTATTTATTTTATCCACTTGATTTCATGCTGTCAGCATCTATCTCATCGCATCCCAATTAGATATCCGATAAACATTGATTTCCCTAGACGTTGACTTATAGAATTGCGCAGAGACGAGTGAATTCTGTGTTCTGTAGCAATTGCTTAGGATCATTATTGTTGGCTATTTTCCTGGTGACTATCAAATACAGTTTTTGTCCATTTTGACTAACCTAATCGAGTGGGTCCTTTCTACCTTTTCACAACTACCCTCAACTCCTATTGTTTTTTCTTGTTTGACACAGTTTGACTTGTTTCGCTTTATCTGTGATATCGGTTTACTGCTTCCGAATATCTCTTACACAGAAACACAGCCATCACACCTGCATATTTAACCAACGGAGGAGACGGCGTAACAAGTACATACCCAAGCACCACGTCTTGCTTACATTTTATGCGAACGGGGCCTGAGCAGTACTCACTTTCAACAGAGCTTGATTGCTCTGTACATAGAGTCGGTTGAGCTTTTAGTGAGGCATTGTGCGCAGAATCTTGGTGCCTGATGAGTGTCTCGCTAGTTTCACATGGCTTACACTTACATTGGTTGTACTGATGGACAGTTTACTCAATGTGTGTCCATGGGGACAGTTCAACGCTACCCCACCACTTATATTCTACCCTTTTCTATATTCAGTGACGTCATTCAGATGTTTAGCACTCAGCGGGAATCAAAAGCTCACATGATCACCACGGCAACCAATGGTTGTGACTACTTGACGTGAAGCTCCAACATCCCTTTCTGCAGTGCAAGTCTGGCGCTTACTCTATCTAATCTTGGATGTTGGTGTTCCACAATATTTGCTTTCTGTCTCTTGCGTGTTCGGTTACTCTGACACACGCTTCTCATGTTCTTCTCTGTGGAATTAAGACTTGAGTCAGAGCTTACGATCAGTTTCAATGTGCACGGCTCTTTGGGACTGCATCTTATCTAGAGTGTTGGCTGTTAATAGAGCACAATTTTATCAACTACTGCTTTATTTGTTCATCATTACGACTTTTAGATTAGTGTCATACTGCGGAATATGTGCGAAACTTCGATGGTTTACATTAGACTGTATCTTCTCGATACCTCCTGTTCACCTGTCTCTCGTCCATCGTTTGCTGAATACCATAAAGTCTTTCTGGGAGTTGATCCCAGACTTCCAGTATCAGTTAGGCTTTGTGCCAATTAGGTCATTGAGCTAAAATAGATGTTTTATCCTGAGTCTATCCACAGTATTAGAAGTTTATGTAATGGAATCCAAAACACCGCATGGTAACTTGTGTGGTGCCTTTGTTTTGGTGTTTTTCAATCATTACTCTCCTTTTTAAAACAAATTACTGGACGTTAAGCGGTACACTTACAAACTAGTTTGTAATTACTTCTGAACTGCGTTTATGTACCGTACATCGGTAGTTCACTGGTCTGATAATTGGGGGAAAGCTACGATCCTATTCTCATCCTTAAACCTTCCGAGCAATTACACACCCGTACGTTGCCCAAGGGCTCCTTGACTTGAAGACTGACCTTGTTCTCCTTGCTTTCGTCCACTAATCATTACAGTGCGCGTTACTGAATTTTTCCACCCGATGATTTGTGTTCTCTAAGAAAGACATAAGCAGTACGTCGGTACGCAATGACGAAGCTTCACTGCCGCGCAACCACCACAAGTCACGCGTGAGCTAACGATATTGCGAGAATCGCTCGGCCCCGTATGCAGACTCAAACCCGCTATTTCTGCATTACCAGGCAAGCTTGTGATCTTTAAGGCCACGAGTCGGCTACTTCTAACCTCTAATGGTGTGGCACAGGGACGTACATAGACCTGCTTCAAGTGTAACATATTGTGGCCATTACTACTTCGTCTGCGACTTGATGCAAATGATCACGAACAGTTATGTTCGTAATTTTATCTGATGTCAGGTTATTGTCCCATGGTAAATTCATAGTTACCGTCATGAGAAGCCTAGAGCTTTTGCTAAACAGACACCGGGCACTTTACGTTTCATTAAATACTTCGCATCTGTATTACCATAGAACGAGTCGACGTGCCATCATCTTCCATTGCGGTAACCACTCATAGTGGTCACAATTGTCTCAGGCCCTGTTTCCATCAAGTTGATGAGGCGCGGCTGTCACAGCCCTCTGTCAATCCATCAGTCAAACGCATAGTCACAACGCTGCGGTTGGTGCGCTACCGACTGCGGACATTTCTGGAGAAGACTAGTTTTCGATTCTAATAATCTTTAACTTTATATCAGGCGGTTTGCTTGTTTGATGCTATTCCTATCCACGTGGTTCTGCACTTGATGGGTCCACTGATCAACTATATCTCCATTGATGGTTCGGCGTCACTTCTGTTGTCTTACTAAAACAGGGCCGTGAAACGCCGACGTCATGTGTAGTATCGCAATCAAGGAGTCCGCATCTTGTACCACTACTTCTCTAACTCCTTCTACTATAACATTTGGTTCACTCTCCTATCGTTTCCAGACCCTATTCCCATGACTTTGTATCCCTACTTTTTACTTGGATTTTATTATTGTTAGTTTTACTACACTGTCGAAACGCAATGGGGTGACTCTTCTAGGACCATTTTCTTATCCATGTAAATCCATTAAACTCTTGGTATTTACAAACGCTGTCTATCGAACTTTATTGCGACTTGGTAATTTTTATTCTTTACCGTATTCACGTCATCGCCTCGCTAAAGTTTTACCGAACAGTGGTTTCCAAATTTTGTAAATCATTGACTTATATCAATTACTTTCAACTCGTCGAAGTGTTTCCTACTTCGTTTTACTTTCATTACAGATGCACTAAGGTCGATGAGCATACCATCTATCCTTGGGTGTCACAGTTCTGCAACAACATGTCTCGGACAGACCAGCTGACCCCCGTCCACTTCCCCGATGTGTGTCCCACTGATATTCCACCACATGTGCCTTTTTCCATGGCTGCTGGCGACTTTGTGGAAATCTACACGGAACCAGGTAATGATCAGTTTACCTGTTTCACGCTCCCTGTGCTCCTCCCCTTAAGTGATTGTGGCGTTCACTCGAAGAAGTAGCTCATTGCTTTTTAAGCCTTCTACGGTTATTTGAGGTTTGTTGCTGTTGCAAAGAGGAGAGGAAGACGCATGGGAGCCGAAGGCTTCTCCGTAGTGCTCCTTCAAGCAGTCCTGTTGTACTCCTAACAACTAACTGTCACGTTAAGCAATCATGGACTCAGTCTGGCAGCTCGCTTCTACGCTTAGGCGGTCTAATCTACTGTTTCTGCCTTCATACCATCGCGACGAGACTGGAACTTAACATGGTGCGATGGTTTACGTGCCTCGATGATCCATTGAGTCGTGCTGAGTGGTTCTGTTTGCACCTTCGGAGTCACTGATACCAGATTGGTCAGTGGTTTGGGGCCAGACAAACCAAGTCTCCTGGCCCTCTAGGTTGGGAGTTGGAATGAGGGTATCTCCTTACTTCATAAAACGGTATCTTTTTAGCCTGTTGCCAAAACCTCGCTGTCTGATAGTCAGATTTTTGAACCCAACGCTTTAGTTGAGGACCCGAATAGATCTCCTGTCTAGACCTGGGCAACCTGACAGTATTTTGCCCACGCAGTACAATGAATTTCCCTTCAACCACTTTTATTACTCTACCTGTCGCAGAGGATAAACAGCGACACCCTATCTGCTGCATCGAGCGGGCTGGATAGGGGTCTGGATGCTACTGCTTAGACCTCCCTGTCTTATTATTATTATCCCTTCTCGCGTTTTTCCAACTTTATCGTCCCTCTCCAACTTCACCTTTCTCGTCCCTCTTTTCAGTCTTGACCCTACCCCATCTTACTTCCATAGTTGCCTGTCTTCTAGTTTCGACTCACATAATCTCGGGGCGTTAAACCAGTTTGGTCAATAAGCATATTGTTTGACCAAATGAACGTCATTTTATCCCTTTCTTTTTAGAGCCCTCGATCCTCGTAAAGCCTGGCATGCTTCAACGTGCGCATTTTGTTACAGCACTTGCCCGAACACGAGACCATATCGCCAGAAATTTACTGTTAATCAGCAACTCGCCTATTGGATTCGAGTCCCGTGATTACCTTGTCATCCCCCACATTCGACACTGGCGTCACTTTCTCGTTGCGTTTGTCCGGAGATGACGCCGGTGTGGGCATTGCTCTGAGTTCCCGGGCTGAAGCTGCACTGATCGATCGGATCCCAATCAACGGCTGGATGTGCGTTGTCAGATTGGCCAGCTCGTGCAGAGCTTCCAAGTCGCACAAGAACAAAGGTGCTCGCTTATCATTGCTGCATACGCGCCCACAAACTTTAACGCAGACTCAGTGACCACTTCTGTCACCAACTTAACGGGCTCTTTTGTTACAAAAGGCTACGAATACTGTGGTGCCTGCTGGTGATCTGAACGCCGAAGATGTAAAACTGTCCACTGATTTAGGTGGCCAACATGGTGTAGGCTCCCGTAATGATAACGGTGATGAGTCCTTGCATCCTTGTGATGTACGTATGTTTTTCGCGAGCACTAACTTTCGGCACAGCACCCGCAGAAGGTTGACTTGGCACCCACCAGCCTTAGACCAGCCATGGACACAAATCGATCACATCGCGATTAGTTACCGCTGGAGAAGCTGCGTCCAAAATTACCGCTCAACTTGGAGCACGAGTGTGGACTCTGACTACGCAGTCGTTTGTACCGATCTTACAGGTCACCTCGGTGGGCGCATGCGGCGACGCTGTGAGTGCGTAGATACACGCCAGCCGGTGAAGCCATATGTCCTAAATGCGTATCAAAATATCCTGGCATCCGGGCTGAGTAAAAGTTATCTGAACACAGTAGAGGGCCGCTGGTCGCATATTCACCGGACGTTACTAACTGCAAGCATACTTTCATGTGGCAAATCAAATTACCAATCTGAACAATGGGTCTCTATACACTCTGGAAATTTTGGATGTTCGCCGACACATTACGGTCGGGAGCGAACACCACGAGACTAGCAAAGACCTCAGAGCGAAACTGCGTGCTAGCCTGAAGAGAGACCGCGAAGTGTGATGGTCACATCATCGATGGACGTGACCGCCGCACTTGACAACCATCAGAAGTTATTCCGTTATACGCGAAACGGGCCAAGGACCTGGTGTTAGCGAGCCCATACGTGATGAGGGTGGACAGCCAATCCACAGTTTGTCCAAAAGCTTTTAACGTTGGGCTGAACACGTTGAAAAGCTATTTAATCAATTTGACCTTTCCAGCTTCTCCCTTTGCCATTGATCGCCCTTCTCCATGGGCCGTCCCCTTGGACTCAACTTCACGCGCATTAATCGAACGTGAGATCGAACTGTTGAAAGTGAATAAGGCCGCAGGAGCGGATAGAATTCCTCCAGCTCTCTTCCTTTTCGAGAGACCCGCGCTTGTCTGTCATTTGCACAATTCACTAGTGAAGTTGTGTCATCAGGAAACTGTCGCAGCAGACTGGAGCCGCTCCGTCATAGTCCCAATTTTCTAGGGGTGCTCATGTTTCGAATACGACAAACATAGAGGGATCAGTCTGATCTCCACTGTCTCTAAGATACTCGCCTATGTCGTTCTTCGTAGACTTGCTGGCACCCGTGAAATCCAGACTAGTAAAGAGTAGGCCAGGTTTTGTCGTAGTCGCGTCCGTATTGATTACATCACCACATTACGTCAATTGTTGGAGCACCGCCATATTTATCGGCGAGCTACCATAGTCGTGTTCCTCGACACCAAAGATACCTTCGATTGGGTGAATTGGTGTGACCTTTGGGACTGTCTTAGGAACAGTGTGCCCGAAGAATACGTAAACATAATCGAAGCGTTTTATTCTCATAATTCGGGCAACGTGGAAGCTTACGACAAACTGCCGCTGCTCTTCATAATCTCCAACGGTGTAAGACAAGTATGTCCCCTGTCATCCATTCTCTTAAACTTCGACATTGACGAGGTCACATTGGAGCTGCGTTCACTGAACACGACTTGCAAGGTATAGAGCGGCTTCCAGGACTTCTTGACTTGGAGTACTCCGACGACATTGCCCTTACTGTGACAGCTCACAAACGTGCCAAGTAGCACTTTACAAATTAGCATTAGCTGTCAGTCGTTCCGGGCTATGCTTTAAACCGTCTACATACAAAGTCCTTCTCCAAGATTGGCAGGGACGTACCGCTTCACTGACGCTTGGTGATGATCAGCTAGAAGTCGTCGAGAAATTGAAGTATCTAATCAGCTATATCAGCACCGATAGAATGGAAGATGAGATCAAAATCGCATAGCAAAAACTCGAAACGCTTTTGCCAATCTTCGCCACCCATGGCGCCTGCGTGACATCACTCTCACTCTGAAGGGTATAGTTTACAATGCGGCCGTCCGTTCAACCCTCCTGTACGGTTGCGAAACCTGGTCCATCAAGTAGACAGACAATAAGAAGCTAGTTGCCTTCGATCATCGCTGCCTTCGCAGCTTAGATCATGTCTGTCGGGAACACTGCTTGCGCAATGGTCATGTTCGGCATTATGTATTTGGTACAGTAAGAGCGAGTGAACCTCTCTACACCATTATTTCACACACCAGGCTCAGATAGTTGTGTCAGGTTTTACGCATGCCAGCACACCGACACCTGCAACGTGCGTTGTTTGCGCGCCGGGGGTGTGGATGTAAAAAGAGGGGAGGAGGCCAAGCGTTTATTTGGCCGAGAGGAATGAAGTCCCTCACTTCGAACTTGACGTCGGTTGGTGTCCCCCGACTGCCAGGCTGGGGTCCTAAGGGCGACGAGCTCTTCTAGTTGGGTACAATAGTCGACGTGGGAAGGAGCCGACCTCAGTGGCCTTTGTGTTATAAGTTTCCTTATCCCCTATCTCTCCTATCTTTCCCTCCAACCACGATCTCTCTTGAAACATACTATGTTTCTAAGCTGTGTTACCCATTTTTTTGCATTCCATGTTCATTATATTGCTTTTTCTTATCATTTTTATTTATTGTGGCACAATAGTTGAAGTGTGTTTCTCACTTTCAGCTAATGTGTAATGATAATGATACTACGTCAAACTGTTATCGCCCTTCAATAACTCTAGCGGTGTGAGATAAAGTTTCTGTTAGATCTTCACATTTTCTCGCTATTCCAAATTAAACATCCAAAAATTCGCAAGAATTCTGGCCCAGCCGAAGAAAAATCAGAAGTCCAACGAGCTTGACCGCGAAAAAAACGTGTTAACAAAAACGCCGCCAAACGTAGCCAAAACGTCGCCAGAAAACCGCCAAAAACCTGTACAACTACGCCAGACCTCCGCCAAATATATAGGTAGTTCAATGGCCTACGGCTTCTCGAAAACGAACCTTAACTGGTAAAAATAGCAGCTTCCTTGCCAAAACTCCGTATGTTGACAATCACGTGAAGGAATGGAAGGTTTCGGAGTCTTCGAAACCAATGCACAATCGAAGATAATCGATTATTTGCTAAAATAATGGTTTTCCTTGATGTTTTTGCCTTTTCCTGGATACCTCCCCTCCTGAGAGGGCTGCCGTGGTGTATGATGATAGCCTGGGGTTGATCTGATGCCTCCTGGACGGTGTTCTACGCCTATCGGTCCATTGCCTTGGATGTAGTGTTCTGGATCCAAGTTCTGTGCTCTGCGGTCTGGTATCATTCTTCTGTGGTTAGGGTTCTTCCAGGGGTTCTTTAGACAAGTTGAAGCTGTCCGTCAGCTTGTCAAATGGAAGCTCGGCAGATTCTGTTGCTTGTGGCTAACACAGTGTTGGTCGCAGTTAGTTTGCATGGCGTATCCATACCTGCGTTCGAACCACCACATCACAAAGGACGTTCCTGCGTTTGCTCTTTATCATGCCAGACCTCCGTTTTGCGTGTCCTTCCCGATAATCACGTACAAGTACTGACTGACCTGGTTTAAACGAACGTCGCTCGGCACCATACTGCCGATTGGAGTCACGTTCCATCTTGAGGTTTC